ATGGGTCTGGAGCACAAGTGTTTGACATCTGTCCCCAGCAGCACTCCTGCAACTCCGCACCYGAGACACTTGGGCAGCCAGGTGCACAGGAGAATCCTGAGCAGGTTGTCTGCATGTGAGCACAGACCCCGGCTGGTCAGAACTCTGGGATTGCGGTGAGCAGTGGGGCTGCTSGTGCAGGAAAGGAAGCTGTGGCTGCAGGTGCTCAGTGAGGGAGTGTGTGAGCCAACTTGGGATGCAGAGCCCTGGAGTGTCCCAGCTTGCATTGGAGCTTGGCTTCCCACCCAGGGCCAGGGAAAATGCTCCCTGAGCAGAGTGTTTTAAATCAAAAGAACGTCCTGGACGCGGCACACAAAATGAGTCAAAGGTCCTCACAGCTCTGAGCCTTGGCACATGTGCTTCCTAGGGCACAGCTGAGTGGAAGTGCAGGAGGGGGCCCCTGCGTCCCCAGGCACTGTCCCCCAAGGTGGCGCCTCTYCATGTGTGGAGGGCCAGAGGGCTTGAGGCAGGCATCTGTGTGGTTTCCAGGTTGGGGTTGYAGGAACAAGTCCACCACGACCCACAGGCACTATTCTTCGCATGCACCCAGGCTGTCCTTCCTCTGGGCCAGATGCCTAGGCTCTCACTTCAGGCCAAGAACAGGCAGCCATGACGGCAGGCCACAAACACACCTAAGTGCCCTGAAAAGMTCACTATGGACCATGCGGCATGTTTCTGCTTTGAGAGTAGGTTCCTAGAGAGGGTTTAGTCCTCCGGGTGACCTGGCCATTTGATCAGTGTCACCTGCCTCTGYCTGCCCTGCCACAGGACTGAGGCGCCTTCGTCTGACTCCGGCTTTGCACCCTGCTTTTCCAGCAGGCCTCTCCATCCTTTTACTTCCKCCCTATGTTTTGTGGGCTCTGGTCCTAGTAGAATGTGGTTGAGACTCAGTTTTCATTTTTATCCAGTTTAAACCTCTCCTGGGTGCATTTGATACCTGTGGGCATGGGTGGGTCTCAGCTGCCTTCCTCAGRGTGTGGCCCCCTGCTCTGCAGTCAGGGACCAGCTTCCTGACCTGGGGGAGCTCAGGCAGCTGCACAGCCAGTGTGGCACCCAAGGCCACCCATCCACTCCCTCTGCACCTGCCTGGGCTTTTCCAGCTGCCACACCCAAGCCTTTGCAGGGCCACACGCTGCCCAAGAACTGGTGCCCCTGGAAGGCCTTCTCCAGGCCCCTGTGGTRTGCCTCCCACAGGAAAGCCTTCCCACTGCTCTGCACCGCCTGCCCTCAGATCGGCCCGCAGCCACCAGCAGCAGCTCCACACATCTCAGGGRCACTCCTCCCTGGCCTGGACAGCCTCCCCTTCCACTCCACTCTAGGCACGAGGGCCGGCCTCTCCTCCCTGGAAGAAGGCCCTCCCTGCCCAGAGCCCAGCGCTGCAGGCTTCTCCTCCCAGCTCCTGGTGGTCGTGGGGAGCTGTGGGCCAGCAGCTCCTGTGGGTTGTCCACAGGCCAGGGAGGGAGGGGAGGGAGGAGGAGGTCTCCATGCAGCGGGCTGTGAGTCCATCAACACTCAACCAGTGACTCCAGGYGCTCTTCCAGCGTCCATCTTCTTAGAAGCCCTCTTGGCCCACTGACCACAGCTGGCCCCCCGTCCATCCTATAATTAGGTGTCCCCTCTGTCACTGTACCTGTGCCACTTTCTGCTGTATTTTTATTTCTTTGTTGCCTGTCTTTCCCATTAAGACTATAAATCCTGGAGGGCAAGAACTTTTGTCTTCTAATTCCAGCATTCAGCACAATCTTTTTTTTTTTTTTGTATATAAATGAGTTTTTAAAGTGTTCCCCAAGTCCGTCAGTTAACGGTAYTGCCAAGTGACAGGTTTCAGCTCACATCCTGGCAGCAGAGTGAAGTCAGAACTTCTTAGTGTTCCATATCATGACTGACAGACTCTGAGCCAGTTAGTTAGGTACCCCCAATCATGCAGAAGTAATGACACCAGCTTGATTCAGTGATCAATAAGAGCTCGATGACTGTGTCAGAGCTGTGAGCCGGTCAGTTTGACTCAGGAGTGTGTGACTTTCTCCCCTCTGGCTTCTGTGGTGAACTCACCAAGATGACAGCCTTGGAAGACAGGGAGTGCAGAATACTCCCCTGACTCTTCATGCTAGGCTCAGTGCTTGATGACAGATACACAGAAAAATGTGATTTCTGCATCATTCACTGGAAATTGGCGGCACCTTGAAAGACCATCAGTGTAAGAAGCTTAAATTTCCAACTGAAGCTTTCCACCACTTGAGGGGAATCTGAGAATGCAGCCCAAATCCCCAGTGGGAGAGACCCCCCAGCTAAGCTGTGCCAGCGCATGAGCTGGCTGCAACTTCACTCAGCTTCAGCGGCAGAGAGGGGGCTGAGCTCTCCCTCCCTGATCGCTGGACAGAGAAGACAACAAGCTTGAGTCTTCATGCAGTTTTCAAAACTGAGAAGCATCCATTCCAACCCAGGAGGAGGAACCCTGTGCACAAAGATGCTCCATGCTAGCCCTCTGAGAACCCGTRACATGGAGCTGCGGAGACCTTGGGCGGGATGCCAGAGTCCCTCGGCTCACCTGGGGTATTGAGAGAGAAAGTTGGCTTCCTGATGATCATGCACTCACAGCCAGCCATGTGTGGGGTCGTCCTGCCAGGTGGGACTTTAAATATCACAGGGACCAAACCTACCCCAGGGCAGGAGTGGCTGCTGAGGGCTGCAGGCTGCAACTAGTATTGCAGGCTGCTCCCACAGGGAAGCAGGAGGGGATGTGGACAGTGACCAGTGCCTCTCTTCTCTTGCTCCCCAGGCCCCAGGGAAGGGCCAGAGCCAGTGGACACGTCACAAGACACCCCCATCGGCCCCTCACAAGCCCACGAGGCCCAGTGCTCTGGCACAGGGCCAGCTACACTTGCCTCCTACACAGGGAAGGGCTTGGAGAGCAGGGAGGGCTGGGGTCAGCGCCCGGTGTCGGGAGGAGTGGGAACCTTCAGGACAGGGAAGACTGCAGCAAGTCTGCTGCTTGGTGTGAGGAGGCTGAGCCTCTCTGCCCCACTGTGGCCTGATGAGCATCCAGCTGGGGTGCTGTGCAGCGGGTAGAACCATTGACCCCCAGAGGCTCCCGGAACATGGCTGCAGCTGGCAGCCCGCCAGCCTGCCTGGGCCTCTGAAGCTTGCCCTCCTTGAAGCTTTCACTCCTCCGCCCCCAACCCCAGCTCACAGGAGCGGCTCCAGGGGGACAAAGCTCAACTTAAACGTGTCTGCAGTTGCTGCCCTTGTTTCTGATGCCCCATGTCACACCTGCATATCTCTGGCATGCCGGGTTGCTAATGGCCACGGGACATGGCAGATATGGGGATCCCTGGCGTCCATTCAGGTGCACCTCAGGCCACTCTGTCCAGCGGGTAAATTCTATTCCACGTCTCTCACCTCATGAGGAGAGGAAGTGGAACTGAAGGAGAAGCATGCGGTGGGTCCAGAGCCGAGCAGCCGAGGTTCCATGCAGGACCTCAGACGCTCTGTGGACAAGGCCCTCTCAGGGTCTGTCGGGCACGTGGGCTCTGCCTCGGAGCACTGTTCCTCTCTCTTCTGCTTCTGCAGGAAGAGGAGTGCACCTGGATGAAGGTCCTGGGGGCACATCACTGAGTTGGCGTCGGCCGACTCACAGAGCAGTCTGCTTTCCTGACATTCAAGCTTCCTCTGAAGCTCTGGGCTGACAACCCCACTCTCGCCTGTTCCAGTCCATTCCACTAGGCCACCTCTGGGGCCAATGCCTGTAGCCCAGTCCTCCAAGATCCTCTATGGGCTCTGCAGGTCTCTGCTCAGTGCACCCTCTGGAAGGAATGTGCCTGAGGTCCATGGGCCTGACCCAGTGTGCCGGCCCGAATCACTTCAGCAATTTTAATGGCTCGAGACAGAAAGATAATGAAGACTGGGCCAAGGTGCTTCCGTGTGTTTTACAGAGCTGCCACACCTCTGAGGAGACCAGTGTTGGGAAAGTCCCCAGCTTTCCTCAGCGTCCAGTAACAGTTCCAGCCTCAGAAAGAGAACCTTGTCCCATCTGAGTGGGTGTGACTACCCACCAGCAAAAGAGAAGCGCTGAGTGCCCTGGACCCTAATGCTGACCGTCAGAAGGCACTAGGCTCTGGGCTCGGGGACCGCCTTTCCAGCAACTCTCCTTCCTGTGTGCACACAAGGGGAAGCCCAGGCGCCAGGAGACAGCCCCTTTCCATGTGCCAGGTCCCCTGGGATCCTATCAGGAGCCTTGAAAACCTGCCTTTGGGTGGGCTTCACCCACGGCAGTGCCCCCAGAGCAGCTGTTGCTCTGGTCGAAGATGAGATCTTCCCTSGGCCCTGGGGGCCAGCCTGGCCCTGGAGAGAAGGGGCAGGCAGCTGCACATCACACCTGGGACTGCCTGCCCTCTGTCCCTGGCACCCAGACCTCCAGGCCCACAGTCCTGCTCTCCTGGGATGCCCTCCTGGGCAGTTTTCCCAGACAAGGGGTCCCCCGAGATGTAGTAGCTACAGCATCAACTCTGGGCACCAACCTCCCAGCTCCAGCCATGTTCATGCCCCCTTCACTCCCCTGATGGTGCTGAGTGCCCACTGCTGACCTGTACCCTCTCCTTAAAGGGTGAAGCAGAGCTCTGACCTGCTCAGGTAGGCCGCCTGTGTTCTCAGTGCTGAGTTTTTTCTGGACCGACAATACCTTGTCCCAAAGGGCTTCTGAGAGCCGTTCCCTGAGGCTACTAGACGTGCACCCCAGGTAGACGCCTGTGGCAGGGTGGGCACTGTGCTCGGGAGACACTGCAACCTTAACAGCCGGGACCTGCCCTCGGGGCTCTTCACTACACTGTCCAGCAGCCTGGGACAGCAGGAGAGCTGAGGGGAGCCCACGGTCAATGGGCCACTCAGACACGGTCACTCTGGAGATAGCTGCAGAGGAGGTGAAAGACAAAGCCTGGCCACAGCAGGGAGGCCACAAGCATCACCTGGGATGGTGAGTTCTCGTGCTGCAGCCTGGGGCGCACGTCTGAGGCGGTGGCCTGGGACAGGGCCTCCAGGAAGGGCAGGTAGCGCTGGAGGGCTTTGGCCAGGGCCACCTCGTTCTCCAGGTCATATTGCCAGTTATCTCCAACATCCTGTTGTGGGGACCTGAAAAACAAAGGAGACCGTGGAGGAGTCATGGGTCTGCTCCGTGCTGACGAGTTGCCACACATGGACAGGTGTGTGGGATGCCTRTGGCAGGGCCTCTGCCTTCCAAGCAAGGGCACTGGGCGAGTCCAAACCTGCGCACCCACCTGCACCTCCCACTCCTTGACTGCGAGTGCAGATTTCTCCAGGCACTGCCTGAGCCTCAGAGTTCTGGCAAAGAGAGTGGGTCAGCCCCGCAGTGCCTGTGGCTAGGCCCTCATGAGGAACTGTCGAGTGACTCAAAGAGYGCCAGCCCAACCCTGTTCCCACAATGCCTCCTAAGGGCCAAGTGCAGGAGACAGAGCTGAAATACGGCCCACAAGTGGAGGACATCCACGTGTAAGAGGAAGAGTGAGAGGCGGGGAGCAGGAGGGGCAGGCTGGGGCCAGGCCAGGAGGGTCTGTGTTGTAGCTGGTGGCCCCTCACCAGCTCTCCGCACCACAGTCTCCACTGCCTGTCCAGGGAGAGGCTGTCCTCAGTGGGCGCAGGCACCATGGGTACCACCAGACTGAGAAGGGGCAGCTCAGGTGTGCAGGACCTCGGGAGGCGCACACAGCAGCCCACGCCATGACCAGGAGGCAGGAGTCCACACGCACTACGTGGTACCTAGACCCAGGTCTCTGCCAATCCGTGCACTGCAGGAAGCGCACTGGGGCTTTAGGTGGTCTTGGCTCATCGTAAATTCCCCACTGAAAGTGACCTTGGGTGACCTGGTTCTCAAGAAGGAGGACTAACATCAGGGCTGTGCGTAGTGCAGATTTTAAATGCCAACATCACTAACTAGCATCACTAACTAACTAACAAAGCTGCAATGAGACATCATCTCGCCCCGTTTAAGATGGTGATTACCAAACAATAAAGCGTTGGCTGGGACATGAAGAAGAGGGAGCTCCTGCACCCTGTTGGCGGGAAGGTAAACTGGACCTTTAGGAAGGTAAACTGGACCTTTAGGAAGGTAAACTGGACCTTTAGGAAGGTAAACTGGACCTTTAGGAAGAACACGACGGAGGCTCCTCAAGAAACTGAAGACAGGTTCTGGTGTGTGTCCAACACCACAGAACTGGCCAGACACTGCAGGTCCACACAGCCCAGGCCTAGACTGGACCTGGGTGCCCACTGGCAGAGGAGGGACAAAGGAAATGGAGCACAGGTACACTCGGGCGGATCATTCAGCTCTAAGAAGTAGGGCTGGAGGACAGCGAGTCGAGGGAAGTAAGCCAGACAGACAGGCGTGGGAGCCTGTCCTCCCCCAGGTGGATGCTGGAAGAAGCCAGCCTGGGTGTCCAGCAGTGAGGACRAGAGRCTGGGAAGGGAGGAGAGGGAATGCAGGGCGGCAGATCACAGGTACCAGGAGTGAGTTCTGGGGCTCCCAGCACAGTAGGGGTGCCTACAGTTCACCAGAACCTACTGTGCACTTCATGAGGAAGAGAGGAGAGGAGCCTGAAGGCTCCGCAGCAAGAGGTGACGGGGACCGGGGACAGAAAGGCTCATGGCCCTGATGTGACCAGTCCACGCTGGAGCCCCGTGTTGAAAAGGAGCACCCAAATGCACGRACATGCAGTTATCACATGCCAATAAAAAAACTTAAGGCTGAGATTCACCAAAAATCTTCCTATTTGATCTTAAGAATCTCAATGGATGAACCTTCCAAGGTGTAGGGGCTTAGCCTTAAAAAGAAATGTGATTTATCAAGTAACTCACAGCTCGCTGCATTTCACATCATGGCTATAGCTCCCAGGACCATTTTTTAATGGATGAAACTATCAGGGAGTGATCTAACTCAAAGCCAATTTACTTGTTGTCTATTCCTCACTAACTGCTAATCAATACACAGAGGTAGCTCATAAATGAGTCTTTCAATGGTCTGTCCATCCTCCCATGCCTTGTCCACCACGGAGGCTTGTCTGTGACCCTGCCCTGTGGGTGACGATGGCCTTCATCACCCTGCTGCAGGATGCTGTAGCAATTAACTTGCAGGCTGACTCCTGCCCTGCCATTCAGTGTGGAGCAGGTCAAACCATTACAAGAACACATTTTCCACTTCAGAAAGGTGGAGAGTATTTCACACGAAGGACTCCGCTATTCTTGTGCACCTGGATGAACTGGCCTTGGACCCCAGCATATGTGATGCTTAGCGCTGTCACCCAAGTGGTCAGAGGGAAAAATCCAAATTAGGATCAGAACCACTGCCAAGAGCTTCACAGCCGGCCCCTCCCTGCGGCCCTCATGCCCGTTTTAGGCCATTTCTCTCCTCACAGGAAACCTTTACAGCCACCACAGGTTCTCTGGTGGTGTCCGGCTCACGGGCAGGTCTCCTCCTGGACCTGGCTCCCTCCTCACAGCAGCATCCACGGTCCCACGTCTCCTGTCCACGCGGCTCGCTCTGATGGAGGCACTGTGTGCAGGGGGCAGGCTGCTGGCTCAGGAAGACCCAGTCCTCATCTCATCTTTACTCCTGAACAGACTGTTGGTGCGAGGCACATGACTTATTCCTCTGAGGAACAACAGCCAAACGTGCAGAGCGCTAGCTGCTACTCCCCAGTGACAGCGGAGCCCGCAGAATGCCCCAGAATGACAAAGCCAAGACGCCGGTGGAGTCCTGGGTGATGCAGTCACCACAGCACAGCACTGGGAGACCCTGGCCCCSTCCTCCCTGCCCTCCACAAGCTGGACACTGTGTGTGCCTGGCCAGGGTGCGAGCCAGGAGCAGGCGCCAGGCCAGACCCTGCCCTCAGCAGGAGCAGGGAGGAAGGAAAGAAGCTGAAGGAGGAGGGCTCCCAGGCAGCACCCTCTCCYGGTGAGGTGAGGCCAGGAGCAGACTGCAACCCAGGCCACGGCCACAGGGGATCCAAAATGAGAGACAGCTACAAAGACTAAAGAAGAAGATTACAGGCACCAGGCATGGTGCCAGAGGACCTGCTGTGGCAGACTCCCCACTGGGCTGCCCAGAGGGCTTTTAAGAGGCCACCCTTCAAACGGAGTCCAAGGGAAGATGACCACGAATTTATCAGGCAGCACAGATGAGGCGAAGGCAGGAATGGCAATTCTGATATGTGAATGGCAGCCCAGACAAGAAGCATCTGAGTTCCATCTTCAAATGGCAAACAGCAGGGACAACAGATGGGAAGCTCATCAGCAGAGCCGCACAGCCAGATAGAGCTACAGGGCGGCAGGGGCCGAGGACATGTGTAGAGAATGTCCACCACCTCTGCCCAAGGAGGGCCTCTGTCCTACCGCCAGTGAACAGTTCTTCTCCAATCCTACTAGGAAGGGAAGCATGGAGAGAGCCAGCCCAGGAGAGCAGCAGGCCTCTGCCTTCACCCACAGGTGCACCTAGTGGCACCCTGACACAGATGGAAAAGCACCTCTACAAGACAGCCTGCAAGGAAGACCCATCCTCAAGGAAACAAACAGCAGGACCAAACGCGGTTTCACAGGGACTAGGACCACGCACAGGAGAGCCACAAGAACACTCCAGTCTCTACGTATGCACGCTTCAACTCCTCATCTCACTGATCATGAAAATAAAAGCAAAGACAAGCTACCATCCTTAGTAACAYGGCCTTGGAAGCTGACCACGTGCCATGCAGTCAGGAGCATGGGGTCCAGGAGCCTGTCTGGGGTCCTTTAAAGTCTCCCAGGTGCTGGGTGGCCATGTGTCCCCCACTTAGACAGTTGCTCCTCAGTCACTTACCACCTCCTGGACTCCTGGAGCCAAGTTTCCTCGGTGCCCGGGTCCCCTGCCCTTTCCCGGGTACCACCCACCCCTGAGCCTGGTGGAGTCRTTACCTGGGAGTTACCAGGTGTGCTGTGAAGAGCAGCAGGAGGGCCTGAAAAGGGGACTGACACAGCTTCAGTGAGCACCTGAGGGTTCCACAGAAACGTCCTGTGCACACTAAGGACCGTGGTGGCGCTGCTCCTGCAGACAGGTGCTCTCAGAGCGAAGGCGGGGCCCGCCTCTGGTGTGGCTGTGTGCTGCAGCCACCAACTGCTGCTCTCCCACTCCCCAGACCCGACAAGGACACTGCCTCACCCTTTCAGTGAGCACGGAGGTGGATATCTAGATCTTCGTGCYACGGGGATTTTCTAACTAAAGACTGTGGTTCTAGATGTTTTCTCTCAGGAAAAAAAAATGGACTGTCCAACAGAAACCCTAGGAAAGGCCCTGTGTGTGCTTTTAACATGAAAAACCGTGCTGCGGTGAGACGCCTGGCAGCCCTGCTCGCCTGCTGTGTCTGTGTGGGCTGCTCTTCTCCACCTGCAGGACGGGGCTGCTCTAGTCACTACTCCTGTGGCAGCAGGTGTGAGACAGAGAGAGCGAGCACGTGTCTGAGCTGCCTGCTTCAAGCAACTGTCCGGTGAGGTCCTTCTGCCTGTCCTGCAGTGGGGAGACTTCCTCCTGCGAAGAGGGAATTCCTGACCTCCGCCTGCACAGAGGTCTAAAGATGCAGGATTTCCCAAAGGAGCCATGGAAGAAAATCTCGGCCTGCCTCTTGGTGACAAGCCATGTGGCCTTCTCTCATGGGTCGGGATACAGCGGAGCAAGAAGTCTCTTCCTCACAGACAGCTGACCTTCTGGAGCTTCCCACAGGAAGACGGGGTGCTTGCTACGACACAACCCAGCTTGATGATGTGACTGTGGCTGGGGGGCAACCCTGGACCCTAGAGTAACCCTAGACGGTGCATACCTGGCTCGGCTGGAAGGATCCAGAGGCTGTGGGTAGGCTCTGGGGAGGTTGGCGAGCTCCTGTGCCATCACACGCTGGGTGTCGTCATCTTGCCACGTGAAGCCTGTAGGGACAGGGGGAAACTGAGTTACTGATTCAGAAGTTTGGCCAGGCTTCTGCCTGCGCCACATCYGGATGGCTCCCTCACACTGCGGACACCACATACCAGCCGGGGATCCCCCGCTGCCCCTCACTAGTCAGGTCTTCTTCACGGAGGCCAACTCTCCCAAATCTCTAGACCAAAAAGACGACTGACACTTTCCCCATTGTTTTCAACAAGCACCAGGGTGCTGGCTGTGGCTGAAGCAAGACCCGTAAGCCCAATGTGATGTCAGTCCGGGGAACCCTGTCTCCCTCCGAGGTCTTGGGCCCAACAAGAGAGGCTTCCCCTCCACAAAGGGCATGTTGTTGTCCATGCTTACTGCCATCTTGGCCATTTGTCCTCCCTGACCCCATGCTGCTTGGAAGCAAGCGCTCAGGTGGAACAAGGGGTGCTCCAGGAGAGCGCCTGCCATGGGGCTTGACGCACTGCCTCTGGGAACCAGTGACACTGTATTTACACTCAAATGTTATGACAAAGAGACTTACAACAAGGGCAAAGCAGTTGTGAAGGCAAAATCCATGTGATTATGCATTAATTACATGCACTGTGGATCACATGATAATTAGGCTCAGAATTACCAAATAACTCCTAAGAATAATTATTATGCAATTTGTACATTTTAGATCTTATGGTAACACTTTCGCACTTAGAACTACCCCTTGCAATTATCCATAATTATCTAATCACTAAATATCATGTAATTACAGAGGTATATTTTTATGCCCTGCACAAAACACATTACTAAAATCTTCAAATCAGAATGGCTCTGTGCGTGTGTGTGCTGCAAGTCCAGAACACACACTCTAGATGGAATCGAAAGACAGCTCAGTAGACGTAATTGGCCTTCAAGAACACACTTAGATATTTTTTTAAATGCAAATCTAAATTGTTTTAAGTTTACACATGGCAATCCAAACAGAAGGCCCAGCGGCATCACTACCAAGGCAGGTGGCCTTCTGCTTGTGCTGGGTCATTGTAGGGACAGTGACCCACAATCACTGCTGCACACACTCTAGTGTGGCTGTACTTGACTGAAAGCAAACCCACCCTCTAGTGAAAGCAACTGAAGAGAGCCCCTGCAGAAGGCATCGTCCACGGCTCTGCTTCACCCACCCCGGGGCATCTCCAGTGAAGAGTGCTTTTGCAAGCTGAAACAACATCWAGCCCTTTGGATTTAGAAAATAAGCACATTTTAAGTATGGCATTCCCCAAGGATAGCCATAATATTAATATTTATCAGGAAGCAAAATCAAGGGCACGAAAGGGACTTTCCAGGAAAACAATTTCATTTATAAAATTAGGCAACTGAGATTCAGGTATCTAAACAGCATGGAAGCATGAGCTATGTTGAGGCTCCATGGTTAGAACAACTGCTGGTCAGACAGAAGAGGCCATATGTGGGAGTGCAAGGAGGGCCCAGGACCCTAACCCTGGGAGGAGGAGGAACCATGCTCTTGGGTGAAAAATGAGGTAAGGCAAAGACCTGGGTGCTTCAGCATCCCCGTGAACTGCTCTCTAGGCGTAAGTGTGAGAGGCATCCCACCCCACTGGGTAACGTCAAGGGAGGCAGAGTAATGAGCTGTGACCTGGCCCACAGAGTTAAGGAGACCCCAGGGGTGGAAATTCCCACCCTGCCCTCAGGTGTCCACAGAGGTGAGTGAGCCTGGGCTTCTACCTCCCAGCACCCATGCTCTCCCTGGCCGGGCAGTGCCAGGAAAAGCTGTCAGAACACCATGTTTGCATGAGTTTCAAAGTTCTTATAATATACAAAAATGACCAGTTTCAATTGAAAATTAGTGCTTACAAGAAGAACCAAGAATACCTCAAACTTAAAGAACGCAGAGAATCAAGAGATACCAGCCCTGGGATGAAAGGTGTGAGACCCCATGGCGCCATGATGAAACTGCTTCCTACGCCACTGTGCATGTACCTGAGACAGACCAAAAGCAGGCATCCCGCCAACACGGGTGGTATAAAGAAGACCCAGGTGGGAGTCTTATGACTGGGGAGTACAGTAAGAAACAATGTTCTACAGAAAGAGGGAAGAGTCAGACCTGGAGACAGAACAACACAAATCCTCCAGTTTCAGCCACAGAGAGCAAACCGTCCAGAAAATGAGCAGAGGCTCAGAACTCTGAGGACGTGACCAAAGATCTGCCATTCATGCTGCAAATGCCTCAAAAGTAGAGGAGGAAGAAGGCAGGGCCAAAAGAAACTCGGAAAAATAATGGCTGAAAACCTCTCCGTTTTGACAAAAGACAAAGCTTAAAACTTCAAGAAGCTGAATACATCCCAAACAGGATAATCCTAATTCTTCTCCAAGATTCATTATGATTTAATTTCTGATGACCTCAAAGAAAAAGTCTTGACAAAGACACAAAACATGATGCCTTCTTTACATGCAAAACACGATTCATACGACAGAGGATTTCTCATCAGAAACCCTGGAAGTCACAGGAAATAGCAGATTTTCAAGTGCTAAAGAACAAGAAGAGTCAACCCAAAATCCATCGATTTACCCATCCATGCAGCCCATGAGAACATCCTTCAGGAATGAGAAGGAAACCGTCAAGCTCTCCAGTCCACACAGCCAGGGAAAGCCCTTGAGGAATGAGGAGACATTAGATGATCTTAAATAAAGGAAAGAGAAGAGCTAAATGAGCTATTCTAAACAGAAAGGAGATGATGAAAGCAGTCCCAACGAATCAGGAAAGAACAGGGCAGGCAACAACACCGGTAAATACAGGTGCCTCCTCCTCTTGGGTTCCAGTGTGAGCACGGTTTCTTCCTAGTCCAGGTAGGAGGAGTATTTAACAATCATACACACATGAAGACCAGTGAACTGTGTTCATTTAACTGGTAAAACAGACAAGCTAYGGTAAGCTGTGTATATATGTGATTATATATCTACACTCAGAAAGATATCAGGATATCAAAAACATAAATTCAAAAGCATAGCCGAAAAATTAAAATGGATTTCCCAAATGCTAAAATAACTTAAAGGGAGGGAAGAAAATACAGAGAAGTAAAAACTAAGAAACAAAAAATCGAACATTTAAGTTCTAGTATATCAAGAACTAGATTGAATGTCAATATACCGATGAAAACAGGCATTGGCTGAGAGGATTTTAAAACGACTCAACTATGTTACCTGTGAAACTAACTTCAAATATAACAACATAGGAAGAATGAAAGTAAAAATATGGGAAAAATACATCATGCAGGCATTAAAGAGCAGCAGCAATGTGTACTTTAATATCAGATAAATGAATCATCAGAGAAAATAAAATTGAGACAGACAGAGGAAAATTACATAGTGATAGAAGGGTTAATCCACCAAGATGCAGCAGTCCTAAACATGCATGCACCAAATGTCAGAGCAGCAACACATGTGGAGCAGAAGCTGATCAAACTAAAGAAGAAACAGAAAATTCCACAATTAGAGCTGTTAGTTTCACATCAATTTCTCAGCAAATGATAAAAAAAAACTATTTAAATAGAAAACCAGCAAATGCAGACAAGAACTCATGAGTGCCACTGGGCAACAAGGCCCAGAGAGCACTGGTGGAGCACGACGCAGCCACAGCGGAACGCATCCTATCAGCCACCCACGCAGCATGGGCCAGGACCACATCCCAGTCAGCACACAGACCTTGGCAGCAGGGAAGGAACAGGACCATTCAGAGCGTGTTCCTAACACTGCAGAGGCCTGCTGGTAATCAGCCTCAGAAAAATCATGGGAAATCTCCAGACACCCAGAAAGCAAACAACATATTTCTAAGCTATCCTGGACCAAAGGGAATCCAAGGTGGTAAAGCACACTGTACTAGATGAAGCCAAAGTGCAGCAAGATCCCAACATTACGGCTCACAGTTAAAGCAGAGCTGTGAGGGGCATGTTTAGCACTGAAGGCTTATGTTAGGCAAAGAGAGGACTCAAATCAGCAATCTACATTCCAATCAAGAATCTACATAAAGAACAGTAAAATAAACCCAAAGAATGTAGAAGGAAGAGAATGATAGATCCATGAAATTTTAAAAAAATATATTTTTTGGTTGTAGTTGGACATGATATCTTTATTTTGTTTATTTATTTTTATGTGGTGCTGAGGATTGAACCCAGGGTCTCACATGTGCTAGGCAAGTGCTCTACCACTGAGCCACAGCCCCAGCCTTAGTCAATGAAATTTAAATTAGAAAAAGAGAAAAATGTGACAATAAAAACTGGTTCTGTGAAAAGATCAGTAAAACTGACAAATTTATAGCAAGAAAAAGATATAACAAATTGCCAATATAAGTAATAAAACAGGGAATATCACTGTAGACATCGAAAGGATAATAAGAGGATCAACAACTTTACACACGTAAATTTTTGACAACATTGGTGAAATGGTGGAGGCCTGGAAAAATATAAACTACAATAATTAATCAAACTCAAGACAGAGAGTTTAACAACCTGTAACTATTAAGGAACTGGACTTCAGAATTTAAAACCTCCCCACAAAATAGACATGCAGGCCCAGATGGAGAATTTGGAAGAATTCTACCAAACGTCTAAAGAAGAATTAACCTAAATTCCACATAATCTCTTCCAGAAAACAGAAGAGGAGGAAACAGTTTCCACTCCATTTCATGTAGCCACTACCAATCTGATATCAAAGGCAGACCATGACAGTACAGGAAAAGAAACCTGCAGACCAATATCCCTCATGAGTGTGGATGCAAACAACCTTTAAAAACATGAGCAAATAACATCTGGCAATATATGAAGATGATCATTCACCACAGGGTTTATTTCCACATAAAAGGAGAGGCTGGTTCACTATTCGGAAATAAAATCAGTGTAATCTACAATATTAATAGGCCAAAGAAGAATAAAAATCAAACCATCATAACAATCAAGGCAGAAAAAGCAACTGAAAAAATGTAATGCCCATTTAACATTAAAACTGTCAGAAAAAA